GGGAGCCATTAATTAAAGAAGAAGAAGAAGAAGTGATCAGTTCCTCAGTATGCCAAGTTTTGTCATGGTTGTGCCAAGTTTGGCCAAGTTCACCACTTGTGCTTCACGGACTTATACCACTATTTCGAGATATATTACAAAATTATTATTTGTATTACTTTTTTTACTTTAAGATAGTAGGAAAAAGTTTGGGAGAGCTCGAAACAAGTTAAATAAATATCGTTTCTTAAGAAAGTTTCTTTTAGACTACAATTGTAGTCTTTGAGATAAGAATTGTAGTCTTTGAGATAGAAAGACTACAATTGTAGTCTTTGAGATAGAAAGACTACAATTATAGTCTTTGAGATTTTCAATATCAACAATATCAACAAAAGGCTTAAATTGACTCAATTTTTTGAATTACATTATCATCTTCACAGTTTTGTGTCACGACATGGGACTTGGAAAGACATTACAAATGCTCTTACAATTAGATCCATTAGACCATCATTGCAATTCACATTGATCATTGAGTATAACTATAAATAATTATTATGATGTTATCTAATCAAAATATAATAAAAACATAAATGTATACTTCATACATATACATATATATATGTATATACATAAATATATCCATTTCATGAATATTTATACCAAGGAATTCTGATGCAATGTTGAAATACTCTCTATTTCCAGTTATTCTTAATCTATATTAAAATTATTTGTAACACATATTGCTATTTTCTTTTCAGGCAGAGAGGCTTTAAATGACAGAGAATTTATTCAAAATAAAACAGTAAAATAATTACAGCTTTGTGTATGTATAAAATACAAATATTCGTTTTTCAAAGTAGTTATTTTACTATTTTAATTTTGTCATTTGCCTGAAAAAAAAATAGCAAATACTACAAATAATTTTAACATAGATTTAGAATAACTATCAGAAATGGAGATTACTTTAATATTGTATCAAATAATTTCTTGGTTTAAAAAATATTTAAACCAAGAAATTGTTTGATACAATATTAAAGTTTTAAAAATATTTTTTGTATTTTTTTAATTATAATATAGTCAAGACACAAACCCCTGAAAGCTATGCATTTTTATCGATCAGAGACGCCATATTGCTATTTAGTTACACTGAACTATTTTAGATGGCGCTGAAGTTAACAATTTTTTTCAACAGGGGAGTTGACGCACCCTACTAAAAACACAAAGAGTACATTCGTTTATGCAGTGGATAGCGCATCCACTGCTTTGTTATCTGCTAGTCACATGACCTAAATTGACCGAAAGGACTTCTGCATGAATGACTGCTCGTATCGCATTGGTTTGTATCTACCAATAGAATTTTTGATGCTTATTACGCATCTTTAAAGGTGCATTTACATGCAAGCGTCAAGCAGCAAGCAGCAACGCTCAAATGCTAGTTTATGAGCATTTATCACTGTTCACATTGAAAGCGACGGCGTCAAGCGACAATATTAAGCATCTCTAATATAACTTACAAACTTTTAATAGCAAATGATTATAATTAGTAATTAAACATTGACAGACAAGTTTAAAATGGATAATTTCGAGTACTTAGAGTGTTTACGTCGACGAAGATTACTGTTATTAACGTTACTATATGTTTATCGTAAAAGGTATGCTAGAACTGCTAGAATAAATAGACGTTATTGGGTAAGGCCTATAATCCGTAGACGAATTTATGAAGGTGATGATCATAATCTTATAAATGAAATACGTCTTGATCGAGAGGAACATATTAATTATTGCGTATGAGTAGAAAAGTTTGATGCCTTACTACAATGAGTGCAACCACGAATTGAAAAAATGTATGTTTGCAGAGAACCAATTTCTGTAAGGGATCGATTGTATATAACTCTTCGGTAAGTCAATGCTACATTAGAATAATTTTATGTTAATAAATTATATTGTCTTGTTCAATTCTTCATTAATAGATTTTTAACATCAGGAGACTCAGTGAATTCCTTAGCTTATGCGTATAGAGTAGGACGAAGTATCGTTACAAGGATTGTACAGGAAACCTGTGACGCAATATGGGACACTGCAGGATGAATTATTTCAACCTTCTAGCGACAATTGGAAAAAAATTGCTACTCAGTTTAAAGAATCGTGGAACTTTCCACAGTGTATTGGTGTAATCGATAAACACATCCCAATTAAGGTAAATTATAGATTGAGATATCTAGAGTATACATGCTATCTTATATGGGGCATCCATACCAAGTGGGCCACCCATTTTGCGAAGTTTCATGGATTTCGTTCATATTGCTTGAACTTGAACAGTTTGATGAATAAAGACTCTATGCCGAATAATATACTTGTAGGCTAACTGGTTGCCGAACTGTAGAGCCGTCAATTTTTAGGCTTTCTCGTCGCAGCGCTCTTTTCGCTTGTCGTTAGTGGGCATGAAAGGCAAGTTTAAAAATGAAATATAGACGTTTTCTTATAGAAAATTGAATGCTCTTTCACGTAAAAATATTCTTTTTTCGATCAGATCGGTTTTCGATGATGTCTGTCAGTTTTGAAATTTTCAAAATGGCGGCGCGCCTAAAAGGCCAGTCTCATTTTCTTTTAATACAGCTCGAAATATAGCCCCAGGTGTCTACTTTGTTACTCTAAAAGGACTTAATGGGACACGCATTCGTTCGTGAGTAAGAGCTCGGAAAGTGAGGCAATGTCGCTCCGTCAGTCTGCCGACGCGCCATCACGCTCGGTAAAGTTACTGAATAACAATATTTCGGCTGGTGCACGGCCTCAAAATAAACACAGTACTCAATATAAACAAAGCGCGCAGTGGTTCTGTGTCCGCAGATCGAGCCCAAACGTCCTACCTGTGTTTAGTGTTTAAACTGTTATTGGAACATAACGTAACTTTACGACAACTCACGAATATTTGTATTTACCAAAAATTTACTGCAATTATTTCCAATCTTATTTTACTTACTGTGTCAGAGCATTCTCTCACATGACTCTAGCAGTGTATCATGCCCCATCATGATCGGTGCATGAATCCCTTCAAGTTGTTGGGAGAAAAGGGACATGTAGGGCGCAATCTTCAGCGCCCTTCTCTGGCTTTACGCCGGAAAATCCCTTGGATGGATGAGAAGCAGATGATTTGCTCAAAATGCCGCAAACTGGATGTAGAACATTTTACTGTACCCAAACCTGAAATTACTACTACGCCCCTGTTTTTGCCACCAGAGGATGATATTAGCGCAGAGGAATATTTCATATTTATAACTCAAAATAGTATGATTTATTTAATAATAACTATTAATTAATTTAGTTATAATTAAATAAAATATTCTATTATGTTATGTGTAATATTTCATACAAAATTGTGTAATATTATAGATATTATGTGTACGAGGTGTGGCTAATAAATAACGAGACTGACGCTGTAAAACATTTTATTTTGATTTCATACATATTTACTTATTATCACCTTCAATATACACCCCTCCTCTATCCCTACAACGCTCCATGCGAATCTTCCATTGTTTGAAACAGTCCTGGGAAGTCTTCTTCTGTCAGCTCCTTCAGGACGCGTGCCGCTTTCTCTTTCACAGCTTCAACGGACTCAAATCTTGTTCCTTTTAATGCAGATTTCACCTTAGGAAACAGATAGAAGTCGCATGGTGCAAGATCCGGCGAATAAGGCGGATGGTCTAACACTGGGATGCTGTACTTGGCTAGAAACCTCTTGACAGACAATGCGGAATGAAACGGCGCATTGTCTTGGTGGAGAACCCATTGTCTTTCCACAATTCGGATCGTTTTTTCTTTATTTTTTCACAGAATTCAGCAAGAACATGAAGGTAGTAATGTTGATTAATAGTTTGACCGATTGTTTCGATATTGTCATCCGTTTTTGACGTGGAAGGGCGACCCGGGCGTGAATCATCTTCAACGTCTTCTCGGCCTTCTTGAAAACGCTTAAACCACTCAAAAACATGTGCACGCGATAAACATTCACGGCCATACACTTGTTTCAATAAATTATAAGTTTCAGTAGCGGTTTTTCCAAGTTTCACGTGAAATTTCACAACAATTCGTGTTGTAACAATTGCTCTATTGTTACACTTACCATTTTTCCGGCGAAACAAAAAAACAACTCTAATGCGAACGAAGGCTACGGCTATACGGATTTGTTTACAGAAGCGAGAGGTACTGCATTCGAAAGAGAAGGCTTCACGCTAAACAGCTGTCGGTCGCTGGCGTTTGGCGCATGCGTACTTCTTCTGTAGCAGCGGCAGTCTCGTTATTTAATAGCCACACCTTCGTATTTAATTCGTAATAGTATTACGATAGTTGATTAGAGTTTGCGTTGTAAGTCTGAAAAAAAATTTCGGCGCGCATTTAAGAATCTACATACGTAGTATATGAATTCATACGAAATTATATTATAAGTATCCAAGATCCAGCTTAACCGTTACGGCATGTTCTCATCGGTATTTAGTTTAAAACTCTTACGGTCCAATAAGATTTGATATTGTACAAATATATATCTAATATGTATACATAATGTTATTTAATTTATATTATATTTACAACATATAATTTACAGCTTATGTTATAATTTATAAATTATATTTATAAACTATCTTTCAGATTTTGACTGCTTTGAGATTTTATGCAGTTGGGTGTTATCAGAGTTCAATAGCGGAGCAGTGGGATATAGCAACGAGCCAATCATCTGTTAGCCGTTGTGTCAGAAGAGTGAGTGATAAATGATTTTCTTCTCAGACAATGGGTTAGATTTCCCATGACGAACGAAGAACATTTAGAGCCGCACCTCAGTCTTTTATCGGAGCTATTGGAGCAATAGACTGCACCCACATAAACATCATAGCACCACATGAACACGAAGAAGCTTATGTAAACCATTGGGGTAATCTTTCAATCAATGTACAAGTGGTGTATATTCTGTTATATTATACTATTTCTCTGACTGTTAGATCGGGATTTCTCTATTTTGTCTAATATTTTTTTTCTTATACTTTTAGATTTCTGATCCTGATTAAAAAATTCTCAACGTGAATGCAAGATATTCAGGAGCACGTCATGACGCATACATTTGGCCCAATTCACCAGTACGTCGCATTATGGAATGACGTTTTGAAAATGGAGAACGTAATACTTGGTTAATCGGTAAGCTGTTGGTCTTCATCTTCAATAACATTTTGTCTATTTAGATCATGAATAAAATTGTCATCACTATCTATATCATATATTCTATGTGCTACAATAATAAATAATGTTTGTAGGTGATGACGGCTATGGTTTGAAACTTTGGTTAATGACACCTTTAAAAAATGAACCACCAGGATCGCCTAGTTATCGGTATAACGACGATTTGTGCAAAGCTAGATCGTGCGTTGAGAGATTTTTTGGTATCTGGAAATCTGTCTTTAGATGTCTGTCTGCTCAGAGGCAATTGATGTATGAGCCTAGTATGGCAGGCAAAATAGTCAACGCATGTGCTGTTCTTCATAACATGAGAATTGCACATAGAATATATGATATAGAGCTTAACGATGATTTCGTTCATGATCTGAACAGACAAAATATTTTTGATAATGAAGATCGACAATATGTATATCAGGGACGTGCAACCGCAAACAAGAAAGTTTTATTGCTCGTCAGTATGGAAGAGTTTAAATTGAAGTTTAAGCTGCAAGAAGGACACATCATCAATTTTTTAAGTAAGTTTCATATAATAAACTTTTTACAGTACAAAATTTACAATAGCCGAACAGTTTGAGCAATATAATATTATATAATTTGTTGTAAGATTTTTGGCATATTTGGAAAAAATATATTGATCATTTAGTATTAAAATTTTTGTACATTAAAAAATTATATTTATTTAATTTTCTGTTTCAGGTTACAATTAAATTCACGAGAGCACCACTACATCAATACCAGATGTATCAATATCAGATGTATTACAAGGAGAAATCATCTCATTTATTTAGTAGCTTAGCGTATAAGTTTTGCATGTTTTTAATAATTTCTATATTTCGTTCATCTTGCAAAATTCTTCGTTCTTCGAATTTTAGTCGTTTCTCTAAAGTATGTTCCTCTAAAGTAATACGCTTTTCATCGTTTTGTGCTGCAGCTAATAATGCAGCTTCAGCCTGCTTCATTGAAGCTTCTGCAAATAACTATTTAAAATAATTATCGTTATCTAACATTATCATCATTATTACCATTGTACTTGTTATCCATAGTTTCCTACATGAAAGGAAAAAATAAAAATTAATAATAAGTTACTATTCATTAATAAATAGAAAATATTACTCGTAAAGCTGTTGCGTGGTTTTTAACTATCTGTAAATTTTCCACGCGCTTCTTGAAGCTGTGCACCGATCCGTTGTCTGTTTTTTTCTAGACCATACAAAATAATAAATGATAATGATAATAATAACACAGATGATTGCTTTAAGGAGCTTACAGACCAGAGCGGCGCAGCGGTGAGCGACGAGCGGTAGCCCAATGAGAGTCACGCTTTTGCGTGACATCATTAGTGAAGCATGGCTTTTATTGGGCTACCGCTCGCCGCTCACCGCTACGCTGCTCTGGTCTGTAGGCTCCTTCAGTGTTGTTCGTAACGTTGTAGAAGCGTTGTCGAAAATGCCGCACATAAACTTACGACCATAATTTGTTTGTGGAACTATTTCTTTATTTCGTGATGCTTTGAAACTACGAGTTTTATTTTTTCCTGTAGATTTACTTGTGCTAGTCTGAACATTATCTTCAAATACAATATATGTCTGACATCATCAAACGTTATATTTTCGTTATTATCGTTCATTTCTTGATGATCTTCCAATATTATTATATCTTCAAATGTCATGTCTTCTTCATATACTTGATAGTAAGAATATTATTAATATATATTATAATCAATATAAATTATAAGAAATTAAAAAAATATTAATATTTCATGTTCTTTTTTAAAGCTGACTACGCACAATCGAGAAAAAGAACGAACGGACATTCGGACGTTCGGACATTCGCGCTCGTGTTCGTAGATCGTTCGTTCTTTTTCTCGATTGCATCAAAGAAAAATTATGGTCTTCGTCTTCAATAGCAATATTTTATCTGTTAGATCATGAATGAAATGTGTCGTATGTGCTATGTGCAATTCTTTTGTGAAGAACGTGCGTTGACTATGAACTATTTTGCCTGCTATAGCAGATTCATACATCAATTGCTTCTAAGTAGATAGATATAGAAATATTCAGATTTTAAGACACCAAATAATCTTTCAACATATTTCAAACTTACCATCATTGTTCGTATCATTGTTTCTCGGTAAAACATCAGCAATAGAGGATATTTCCGGTGGATAATGAAGAACTTCTTCATTCCCCTTTTCCAATTCGAGTTGATAAACCTAAAAATACTCAGAAAAATAAAGTTGAGTCCACAAAAGAAATTCGTTAGAAACTACGAAAAAAAACAGGGGGTCGATTGTGTATCTTGAAACAAGATAAAAATGACAAAAATGAGCAAATTCATTACATATTGGCTAATAAAATTAGAAATATTCTAGAAAATATGTTCACTTTTGTAAGTTTCACTTTATTCCAAGATACCCAATCAACTCCCTGATGTTACACACACACACACACCTCTTCCTCTGGTGTACTATCAGGACAAGTTTCAGAACCTTGCACGTAGTCTAAACCCATACACGCGATGATACGTTGTTCTAAATCCTCCAACGGTTGTGATTGCATTGGAAAATTTCCCGTTCGATTCCTTTCATTACGTATTTTTGCTGCTTTTTTTGATGCGTTGCTCTTCAAATCTCTCCATACCTAAATAAAAATAATGTATAAAAAATGTATGAATGTATATAATGTATATAATGCTCTTACGTGCTAATACTTGTTATATACTTTAAACAATAATTGAAAATCTAACTGATTTAATATATTTAAATAAACGTACCAATAAAGAAGCATATAATTACGAGGCATGTCCAGAAAGTAAGTGTACTGAGGCTCTCACGGCCGGAGGGATTTTTTTTTCGACATGTTGGCTACACTGCCGTGTAGCCTGATTCCTCCCCTCCGCAACGAGACCGGTTCTAGGTCAGTACGTTGAAAACTGTCGACGCGACAATAGGTTTCGTGAAAAATGTCAATTCAATCTCCCGTCAAGTGCGAAATACGCGGCATCATCCGTTATCTCGTTTGGAAGGAAAAAACTCCGGTTGAGGTTTATAATGAGGTAAAAACTGCATATGGTGATAAAGCTATGAATCGTAGGAGTGTGTTCAAGTGGTGTCGCGATTTTTTCAATCAGAATTGAAGGTCTTCCGCTCCTCTGATCATCATGCACAGACGTACGACCGTTTTTAAACTCGCGACACCACTTGAACACACTCGTACGATTCATAGCTTTATGACCATATGCAGTTTTTATGATTTCGCACTTGGCGGGAGATTGGATTGACATTTTTCACGAAACCTATTGTGTCGCGTCGACAGTTTTCAACGTACTGACCTAGAACCGGTCTCGTTGCGGAGGGGAGGAATCAGGCTACACGGCAGTGTAGCCAACATGTCGAAAAAAAAATCCCTCCGGCCGTGAGAGCCTCAGTACACTTACTTTCTGGACATGCCTCGTAAATAGGAATTATGATGATAAATGATGATTAATATTTTCAAACGAACCAATAATAAAATATATAATTACATATATTTTATATTAAATCAGTTACATTGTCAATTATTTAAATTGCATACCGTTTGCCACTGCTTTGTCGTTTTTCCGGGTGCCGTACTTAATGAATTTAAAAGTTTTGTTAATCTTTGCCATTGTAGAGCATAATGAAGTTTACCCTCTTTACCCAAAAACTTTCCTTCGGCGAACTCTGAATGAGGCTCCATGTATTTCACCAATTCTTCGTATTGCACTTGTGTTGTGCGTGTCGCACGAGATTTTTGTACTAATTGTAAAGCATTCAGCGGACTCAACAGTTGGGCAACGTTACTAGATTTTCTGCTGAATGACGTTCCGCTCAATCGCTACGTGTCAACATGTTGAGGCAGCGGACGCCATTTTTCGTAGCAGTTTTTATTTATGCTACTTAAGCGGAACGTGTTACAGTTCAACATGGCGACAGTGAAACAGAAGAATTAATTGAAAAAATCTACGATTTCCGAGGAAAGTTCTACACAGTTATAGAAAAAGCAGATTTTCATACTCGTCTTACATCGGGTAAGTTAGCAATAATAAAATTACCCTTAATTCATAATTTTTTATAATCATATAAATTTACCTAACCTCTCATTTGTAGTATATCACCTTTCTCCTTTTATTACTGGCAGTAGTTAAAAATCTTGTCTATACTATACATAACATGATACTTGTCTATACTATACATAACATGAATTTTATATTATATATAATTATAGATTTTTAGTACTACCCTGATAACAAAACCTGGAGACAGATTTTTAGCAAAGCCTGCTATCAATTTTTGATTATAGAAAAGCAACAAATTGTACAGAAAGTTTGTATTATCTGACATTGTGAGCAAATTGTTAGACATATGACAAAGTCTGCTAGACTTGCTGTGCTAGCAGATTGGTAGCAGAAATCAAATAATGTCTTTCATGACCTGATGGTAGATTGAGAACAGAAATCGAACAGAGTCTGATTGAATCAGATTCTGTTTGATTTCTGAAGCCACCAATCTACTTGCATAGTCCGTCAGCAGGTTTCGTCGACAAATCCATAGCTAAATAACGAACACAGATGGTTACAATTTTCAAGTGTCAAAATCTGATCGAGTTTACTGCCAATTTGGCCCCAAATTACTAACATTTTGTTCAGGGTAGTAATAACGAAACATGCCACAAAATGCAAGTAATATAATTGTATAAATTAGAATAATAATATTAGCTTGTATAATTATATATACAATAATAATAAACAGAAGTAATTCGAAGAAGGCATAGTAAATAATAAGTAATGTTGATTTTAAATATTTAAAGTAGTCTTATATCAACATTGTTTATTATTAGCCATGACCTTTCGAAATTACCTTTGTATAAATTATATGTTATTTTTATATTTAATTTATTGCAGATCCAAGTTTCATGGAGATCTATTTTAATGACTGTATACAAGTCAATGAAGAATCTACAAATCTGACTGCTATAGAAAATGAAATGATAGGTAATATATCATTTGCTGTCTCTGTAAAAAATACAAATATCTTCAATTATCTAAAAATGTTTCTAATTTCTTCATTCCTTTTCAACTACTTGATTTTCCATGATCTTAATGATAAAAGTTTTAACTCTCTTACAATGTTTTTTTATGATTGAAACATTTACTGAAATGCTTATTCTTTTTTTCTTACAGATGTTAACAAAGAAAATTTTTCCTGGAACAATCAAAATACAAAACTTTTAATACATTTATATGAAGAACGCAAAGAAAAATTCAGAGATCCAAAAGTAAAAAAGAAATTCTTGTGGGCTGAAATAGCAAAGGAATTCAAAAAACAGAACTATACATGTGTGACAGAAGATATTTTGGATAGAAAAATGAGAAATATGAAGAAAACATATCGAACAATCAAAGATAATCAGAAATTAAGTGGCCGAGGAAGGATAACCTGGGAGTATTTTGAAACATTTGAAAATATATTTTTGGACGATAAAACGATGAATATCGAATCAACCTTGTCATCTATGCAATCTCAGCCAGTAAGAAAATATATACATAAATATAAAAGAGACTTCTAATAAAATTTTCTTAGAATTTTCTCAGAAATATACGTTTTTCTTACTTCATAATTTAAAAAAAGTTTTGAGGCAAAATTAATATTTATACAGATTGTAGATCTTTTTATAAAGAAAAATGAAATCTTAAAATATTTGCATATATAAAATTTGCGTAGATTTTTTCATATTTATATAGATAATTATACTTTTCTTCTAAGAATTGCTTCAAAATTTATATTAAAAAATCTGAAAGCTATATATTTATATAAAAATTCTACAAAATATAATAACTTTCATTATTTCTTTTCAGCAGGATTCAGAACAAAGAGCTAAGCAAAATTCCAGACTGCCTTCAAAAACACCAGAGATCATTTTTACGATGCCATCCTCAACAGACACAAAAATTTCTTCAATAGATTCAAGATCTTCATGTGATTCTTATGAGTCAATACCTTTGACAGAAGATTCATTTTCTTTAGAATCAGAAGATTCACAGATATTACAGAGTACAAAAGATCCACTTGAAGAAAATAAAAACATCAAGACATCAAAACGCAAATCATATTCCATGAAAGACGGTGCTACTAGAAGTAGAACTCTTTATGAACACCGTCGTAAAAATGAAAATATAGAAAACGAGCGTGTGAAAGAAATTAAAGAATTAAGGAAAACATTTGAAAAAAATAATGAAATTCAAGAAAAAAGGAACAATCTTCTAGAAAATTTCCTTAA